ACAAATCAAAACTACAGTGAGATACCACCTCACATGGGTCACAGTGGCTAAAATTAACAACTTAGGAAACAACAGATGCTGGTGAGGATGTGGAGAAATGGGAACCCTCTTGCACTGTTGGTGGGAATACAAACTGGTACAGCTGCTCTGGAAAACAGAGTGGAGGTTCCTCAAAAACTAAAAATAGAACTACCCCGTGACCCAGAAATAGCAATACTAGGAATTTACCCAAAGGATACTGGAGTGCTGATTCATAGGGGCACACGTACTCCAATGTTTATACCAGCACTTTTGACAAAAGCTAAGTTATGGAAAGAGCCTAAATGTGCATCAACTGACGAATGGATAAAGATGTGGTTTATATATACAATGAAATACTACTTGGCAATGATAAAGAATGAAATCATGCCATTTGCAGCAATATGGATGGACTGGAAGGTATTATGCTAAATGAAATAAGTCAGAGAAAGACAGCATGTTTTCACTCATATGTGGATCTTGGAAAAACTTAACAGAAGACCATGAGGGAAGGGAAGGGGAAAAAAATAGTTACAGAGAGGGAGGGAGGCAAACCATAAGAGACTCTTAAACACAGAGAACAAACTGAGGGCTGATGGGGGGAGTGGGGGAGAGGAGAAAATGGGTGATGGGCATTGAGGAGGGCACTTGTTGGGATGAGCACTGGGTATTGTATGTAAGCGATGAACCACAGGAACCTACCCTCAAAACTAAGAGCACACTTTACACACTGTATGTTAACCAATTTGACAATAAATTATATTAAAAAAATCAATAAACATTAAAAAAAATCTTAGAAAGGCACTTAAACATTAGTCATTATAAAAATTTCCCTTTTATTTTTATTTATTTTTTAAATTTTATATCCAAGTTAGCATATAGTGCAATAATAATTTCAAGACTCTCCCCCACATATAACCAGTCTTCATCCCAACAAGTGTCTTCCTTAATGCCCCTTGCCCATTTAGCCTATCCCCCAACACTCCACCAGCAACCCTCAGTTTGTTCTCTGTATTTAAGTCTCTTATGGTTTGTCTC